GGGGGGGGGGGGGGGGGAGATGGGCACCTCTAATTTGTAGCCTTCCCCTCAGGCATTTTCTAGATACGTCCATACTCACCTACAACATTGGCTTCTAGATCAATATAGACGGCTCGTGGAACATGTTTACCATGGCTAGTTTCACTGAAGAATGTATTAAACGATTCATCACCATTAGACATCATCATCTTCTCATATTCCATATTGCCATCAGGGTGTATATTGTGTTCTAAACAGTACAACTCCCAACAGGCATTACCGATCTGAACACCAGCTTGACCAACATGGATAGATATACACTCTCTCTGAAATGACATAACAACATGGATAGATATACACTCTCTCTGAAATGATATAATAACAACATGGATAGATATACACTCTCTCTGAAATGAAATGACATAACAATCCCATGCAGTGTGAAATGAGGTTAATTTCGCCCGGACAGCGGCATTAACCTACTGTTACTGGAGTATCTTTAACTTGAACAGCCTGTAACACATGGGGCCTCAGATTATTATCAAATCCAAACGACAGGACGATTTTACCATAACAGACTTGCATCAAGGAAAACCTGGTTGAGAAATCCAAAAATCTCTACTACGTGTACCGAAATTGAAACGTGAGCCTTCAGGTTAGAAAGCTTCTTACTCACTGAGCCATCACGGCTCCCTAGAAATGCAAGGAAAGAAACGCATACGATATTATTGTTATCATTGATAGGCTACATCGGTAGTTATATGATATCAGAATTAAAAAAAAAAGAAAATCCCACCAAGAACTTGTATCTGTTCACTACCTGGGCTTCTCTTTAGACGAGATTTAAAGAGATACAGTCGTTTATTCACCTGACAGCTCAAAGGGCCCAATTTTAGGTATCGTATATAAGAATTAAATACCGACATCTGGATTTTCTTCAATCTAATAAAAGCGTAAGTCCAGTGGCGTATCTGTGGGGGCCAGGGGGGCTTGGGGTTGTGGTGGTGCAAGGCAACCCCTCCCCTCGTACCTGGATAAATGAACAAATTATTCTACCTTTGCTGCAAAATGGCGTTAGGCCCCCTAATCCCCCACCACATTTAGTGTCTCTATTGTCCAAAAGGACAGTCGAAGTGCTCAGATGCCCCCAACCTAGAGGGTAGTAAATGGGCGTGACCGGTTTTCCACAGAATCTGATCTATGTTAATATATGTGCAATATTCCTACGTTCTTATCATATTAAAACAGTTGAAAAACACACCTCTAAAGTATATCAATAATCTATTTCCCATATCGACCTTTTCTTTTTAAACTCTAGCACTCCTAGCATTACAGCCAAGAACAGTCATTGAGAAAGTTCTCCGTTAGTGTAGATGTAGGTAAGTTGCTACGCAGTAGGGGGGAATTATTCATGTATTGGGTCAGAATGACTTAACAATATACAGGTAAAAACATATATATGAGTATTGGTGAAGAATTTGAGATGGAAAACGTAATATGAGATGTTTAAACCAAAGTTGAATGTGAAAAAAAAGTAAAGAAGCATGTGCGTGTGTATGGCAGCAATTTAGACAAACATCTGGGTTTAAAGATAGAGATAACAGTCTGTTTAAACAATCAGACACAAAAAATGAGGCATATTTTAGTCTGAAAATATACAATCTAGGCAATAACGTTCAGCTTAGTGATATCAAATGAAAGGGTGATTGCCCTCCATGAAAGAACTAGTGTCGAAGTTTTCACCATTCGCAGTTATATTACATTTAAAGTTACATGACCAGTTTCGAATAAGAATGGCGGTCATTAGTTTCGAACGCCACTCTCATGCAAGTTGCGTTCGGTACTCATGACCACTTTCATTATTAGCAACCATACAAAAATGATAATCGCTATGCACCTTTACTAAGTTTCTAGTATTTTCTAAGGAAACCTCCATGTTAGGTCAGAAAAGTAGGACGTAAAACTCCATTCATTTCATTTCCATGTTAGGTATCAATTCAGTCAGTTTAAAGAATGAAGGTAAATTGGTATCACGAAAATTTGAAATTTTGTCAAAGTAAATTGATGGAAAATTAAAATTTTGTCTCAGCAATTTCGTAACGTTGACAAAGGTCACAGAAATACAGGTGAAATGATCACAAGGCAAATTGTACAGCTCAGTGATTACCTTCCACAATATTACCTTGTGACCATATTGAAGCGTCTCGACTAAAATATTGTTCATTGTTGAATCATATATACGTAGCCTTTCATGATAATATAACATCTGGTAGGTGAAAATATCAATTATCAATTAATTACACATAACGTCAATTTACTTGATTGCAACATTCTTTTATCACTTAATTATCACATTCTAAAAAGTGATAAAGGTACTTGAACGGACCTTACCAGGTGAGCTGTTTATCTGTGAATATTTCATATGTAGCCTACGTGAGAAATATGTAGCGATAATGTGAACTGGGATGATTCCTAGAAAGAAATACGTTGAAGAATGGCGTTGGACATCTGCACAATGTCATTTTACGGGCCTCGTCTTATACCTTGACTACAATAGCTACTATTCATGTATCACTAACAATTATAAATGCGGGGATTTCGTTGAAAGTTAGCGAAAAAAAAGCCAATCAAAGTACTTGATAGAAGATCTGTAAACAATAAGCCTATCTGTAAACGCTGGCGTATAATCCAATCAAATCGCTGCATTTTGATACTTCTGGCTATTGAAGCCCGGGTATAAGGCGAAGTTCGTAATAAAGAGATATATACGGCTCTGTGAAAATGGGCGTTGAAGTATATTTTTTGTATCCTTTAAATTACGGCTTTGTGTTTAGAAAGTCTAATATTGCAATGCGAAGAATCATATCATGACGTTTTTAGGGTGATTTTGCCGACCCCTTCCTCTCTCTTCCCACCCATACCTTTAGAACTCAACAATAGAATATTCTCTTGGAATCTACTGAAAGCTTCCCCTTGTGTAAAGAGTGTAAAGAGGTTTTTTAAACTTATTGAAAACATAACGCTGCAATGCGAAATGGCATCTCAAAAAGTTTTTAGGGTGAGATTTCATACCCGTCCCTCACCCCCCGCCCACGCCACTAGAACTCAACAATGAAATATTCACTTGAAATCTACTGATAGCTTCGATATATCTGTTTTTCTGATATTCTTATCGTTATGACACGTGCTTCACCTTGTTTGATAGAAGAATAAAATAGTAAGATGGTTTGAGATCTGCAATATGGAGTTTTATAAACAATATTATAAACAGTTAGTAGTCTAATATGTTCTTTATTAGAATCTTTGTTTTTTTTTTTTACGTTTGTCGTACTGTGATGTCAAATTTTAACTTTATCTTCTGTCAAGATGAGGAAATTTCTTATATCCAAAAAGCATAAGAGATGCACTAGTTGATGAGAGGTAAAAGTATAGACTAGATTTCTTTTTTAAATCTCAGATTTCAAATTTTCCTTTTTTAAATCCTTTTACATTTTTGCTTGTTAATTTTTAAGATTTTACCCTATATAAGGAATATAGTCCAATAGCTGTTAAAAAATCTCAACGAGGCAAATTAATCGAATTGCAAGCGAAGTCGATTTTTCATTTTAAAAAGTGTTAATGATAGCTGGAATTTAAGTTCACTAATATACTCTTTGGAAGGATTAAGATTAATCATCCGATGCTCAAGGTTCCTGCAAATAATAAAAACAAAAAACAATCGGATAATGGGCGTCTAATCAAAAACCATCTAATCCAAATTATTTGCTGGGACCACAAGTTATGTGAAATCGGAAAGGCGAATCTCTTTAAGGAAGTGTAAACTTGCTAAACTTGTCATTTCCGTCAGAAGCATTAATAGGATCAATTTGCACCATTCCAATTTTCAATCGGTGAATCTCACGATTCTACTCAAACTTAGCATTTTTTGACGTCAATATTTCAAAACGCTGTTAATAATAATTATCATGTAAGAGCTTATGCAACAATGACGTCATAAATAAAGATAGTAGACCACAGCCATATACGCCCACCACGGCATGCGGATGGTAAATATTCAAGATTTTGGGGCAAGAGCAATAACACTGCTTCTAACGGTCGAAAATAGCTCAAATTCGAATTTGATCTTTGTTTTGTGAATATGTATACACATACCGAATTTCATTTGATTCCATCAAAAAATCTAGTTTTTAGAGCGTTTACAAGCAAATGTTGACGGACGGACAGGGGTGCCGACTATATATAGATGTGGGCGTATAAAAAACACTCTTATATTAAGTGGAATTGCTGGAACCACAGACGTCTGATTGACAATTGGAATGGTTCAAATTGATACTATTAGTGCCTCTAGTTGAAATTTGGAATGGTGCAAATTGATGCTACTATTACCCCCAATACACATAAAAAGTTTAAAAACCTCTTTACAATCCCTTTAACTAAAAATTTCTCCCGTTGATAAAGTAAGTAATACTTACCATATTGGCGAGGCAACAATGCTGTCTGTCTGTAGAAGCCTAATGAAGACGTTGGTTAACTACAATAGTGTGTTGTACTGAGGTATATTAGGAACCGTGTACAAGAACTATCTGATTCTCTATTACACTGCACCTCAGTTTTACCTGGTACCATGACGTCATCACCTCAAAATCATTTACCATTCCCTCTAATATCACTCATATTTTAAAGTGATACAGCTCTGTAATTTCCCATCCAAATATCAGTGGCGGTGGGGCAGACTAAATTAAAAATCTGGCTACTCTGGAGGGGGAGGTAGGAGCAATAGGGACAAAAAGGGCAAAGCAATCGATTCTAAAGTGGTAATGGCAGGAAAAAGATTGAAAACCCCTGATCAAACACAAACGTCAAATCCAGATGGTCAATAAAGTTCAGATGCAGAATTGATAAAGACGATATGATTTGGATCCGTTGAAATCAACATGAAGATTTTTCTAATTATCTTTTTCAATCGTTCTACCTACTCATGAAATTTGAGAAAAAAAAACAGATTTGATTTCTAATAAAAGATAAACCTTCAAATAATGTTTGATTTTTGTGAGTTTTTTTATGGAGTCAAGGGCAATAACTCATAACCATTAAAGTTTTTTTTTTTCTGCATTAAATATTATAAAATTGCGGCAGCTTTGATTCTACATTACACGTTTCCGGCGGGATTCATGAAAATCAGATGAAATCTAAGGTTTCAAACATATTACGAAAACATATTGACGGACTGATGGACAGGAAGAAGCGACGGCAATTTTCGCTAACATTTTTATTCGAGAGCTTCAAATTGAAACTATGGGTGATTTTTATACCCGATTTATTTCTTAACAACTAATCATAAACAAACACTAACATTAAATTTCTAGCACTAATTGTTAGACAAAGGTATCACGCACGTCCAGTGACGTTTCCAAGCATAGACAAGATCAGTTTATTTTGTTTTGGGGTGGAATAAATATTGAAATTAAACAAACCAGACGTATGTAATACGAACTTCATCTACCCACTTAACTTCAAGTTTATACAACGTTTCGACCTATTTCCCCCGTCATCTTCATACAGGGAATGATAAAAAGATGAAAAGTGATAGGCAACTACATATACATTTTTGTCATTCTGTACCCGAGGACGACAGGGGAAACAAATCGAAACGTTGCATAAAACTTTAACCAGTGATTGTTGTTCCATAAAACTGTTCTTAACTTATATTTGAAAACGACCTAGGTCAGGCAGAAATATCTTTGCATGAATACATACAAATTCGAACAATATTATTGAAGGTTTCTTTCATGGACATGGCTATCAATGCATAGTTCAGGGCTAGGTCATGTTTCAATGAGGCAAAAATTCTGTTGTCTTTGAAATCAATTATGTATTTTATCGCAACGGTAACCACCATCGAAAACATGATATATTTAGAGGATACCACATTTTTAAACAAAATATATAATTTTACGTCGAATTCGTCTGATTTGCCTTACGTTACGGCACTTTAGTTATGATTTATGACAATTTCCTACCTTACCCCATGGGGCTGCTCGATTGGCGAGTTCCGCACGGGATTTAAGTAATCAAAGTTAAAAAAAAAAAACAAGCTGGAACAGCGTTCAGAACGCATCCACTTTCATACTGTTGGATTCGGATCAGAATTGGAACAGACGGAGCCTGTTCAGTACATTCCAATCGAGCGCTACTCATGTTACATTACCTTTTGATTTGATTGGTAGCCCATGATTTTCATCTCAATAGAGCAAACAGAAGATATATGAACAAAACAGAATATCAATGCAATTATTGTCTGTACATAAATACAGAATTCAACTATTTAATAGAAAAATTGAAAAACTGGGGCCATATTCTTGAAAACTTAACTTAAGATGATTTTAGTGTTCCAGTCATCTGATTGGTCAATCACTAAGATTGATTTTAAATTCAGTTTTATTATCCAATCAGATTACTGTATTTCTTAAAATTTTAAATTCATTTTAAGTTAGGTCTTAGAGAATAAGGCCACCATCAAACTACCTAATCAACTTTTGTACACAAAAAATATCACAAAACTCAGGAAAATTGAGTTAAAGGCATTATGTGCACAATATAAGACAATTTTTACAAAAAAAAAAACATAATGATAAAATCATTTTCATTAGAAAAATATCAGTTATCATAAGTATTCTAATATCTCAAAAATATACACTACAAAATTACTAGCTATTTCACTTGTTAGTTTCAATGATTACAAGGAATTTCAAACTTATTTTTCACATAGCATGCTAACAATTTGTTATCAACTCAACTTTCTTTTTATTGAAACTAACAAGTAAAAGCTAAATGATAGTATTATAATAGTTTTCATACGAGTTCATTTCAAGTAGAAGTTTGGGAAAGTGTGAATTTAATAAAATAAATATGTTCTAAAACGGTTCTAAAAATTTATACTTGTAATTTTTTTGCCAAATCCAACTATACCTTGAAAAATTCAAAAAGTGTAACAGAATAATGTAATAATAAATTTAACTAGTCCCCAACTAAAAAAAAAAAAAAATTGGAACAAATTAGGCTGAAATAGGTCAGTTGTCCGAAGATTGCACTCAAGTAACAACATGTTTCAGGTTTCTATTAAACAGTCTTGAAACCCATCACTATAAATCAAAACCATTCCAAATGATCAGTTATATCAGAAAGTTCACTGATATAATATATGTAAAAAATAAAATTGTATGAAAACTATTAAAGACATGTATTAGACAAGGTATTATCAAGAATTATTCACCCTATGTATAGGTTTCTGATCAATTCTGTCATATAGTACTACTTTATCTTATAGTACACCAGTCTTTTACATGTAATATTGGTCTTATAACCCTATTGTATAACCTAAAACCTGGTACAAATTTTTCGGGAATGCGGATTTCTAATTTTTCACCGGATTAAACAAATTTTTATTTTCACTGGGATAACACAGAACATATTATTCAGAATAGCATAAAATATAATATTTTTCCAAGAATTTTGACATTTTATCAAGACTTTAAGTAAATCTGATGTTTTTCACAAAAACATGTAACTTTTGATAACGTGTACATTGATATTTTTGTGAAATTTATAGTACATTTTGATAGTTTTCACAGGAAGGAATGATGTATCCTAATTTTTATCCCAAATTTGAAAAATATAATAATTAGTACCAGGTTTCTAGACTATTAACAATAGGGAAATTAACCTCAGCAACCAGCTACAGCTGTATCTTCACCACTACTCTTCGTTATATTTAACGTGGTAAATATCTGAAATTAAATCAAATATAATCCTTGTTAAGACATTTACAAGTATCATTGCACATAACAAAACAACAATTGTTATGGATTCTTTATTCCTTTTGAACACAATGTTTCATTATACATACAGGTAACGTTCTCAAGTGATGACTTTCATTACACATACAGGTAACGTTCTCAAGTGATGACGTTCATTACACATACAGGTAACGTTCTCAAGTGATGACGTTCATTACACATACAGGTAACGTTCTCAAGTGATGACGTTCATTACACATACAGGTAACGTTCTCAAGTGATGACGTTCATTACACATACAGGTAACGTTCTCAAGTGATGACGTTCATTACACATACAGGTAACGTTCTCAAGTGATGACGTTCATTACACATACAGGTAACGTTCTCAAGTGATGACGTTCATTACACATACAGGTAACGTTCTCAAGTGATGACGTTCATTACACATACAGGTAACGTTCTCAAGTGATGACGTTCATTACACATACAGGTAATGTTCTCAAGTGATGTCGTTTCATTACACATACAAGTAATGTTCTCAAGTGATGTCGTTCATTACACATACAGGTATTGTTCTCAAGCTCAAGTGATGACGTTCATTACACATACAGGTAAAGTTCTCAAGTGATGATGTTCATTACACATGCAAGTAACGTTCTCAAGTGATGACGTTCATTACACATGCAGGTAACGTTCTCAAGTGATGTCGTTTCATTACACATACAGGAAATGACATCACTTGAGAACGTTACCTTATGTGTAATGAAACATTGTGTTCAAAAGGAATAAACAACACAATTTTTGTGGCAAATTCAAAGAACAGATCATATAAAACAATGAAAATTGTGTTAATAAAAGTATCTGAATATAAATATAAGAATTAAATGTTGATCTCACTAGTATTATTTGTGTGTAAACGCAGTTGATCACAACACAAACATACATATATGACTTTTTCAGTTTGTCAGGTGATCAACTACGTTTACACAATGATAATGCCAGTCAGACCAACGTTTAATTCTTAAATAAACATAATATTAGCCTTATATGATAAATATACTTTATAACCAGCATCGAATTAAGAATAAGTGTAGTGGCATCTACCTGACTTGCTACAAGGGAGATAACTAGTACTGATTTGTAATTGTTCAGACTACAGTAGAGTTACATCTTATTTTTTATTTTCTAGGTGCATATAATGGGAAATGACATGCAGTGTGCAATGAGGTAAATTTCGCCACAACTGCAGTACAACTGAATACAATCCTATAATGTGGTTAAAGATACATATACTGTAAGTGCCGTCCCTTTCCAACAAATAAATTTTGGAGGATCCACATACATATTGTTTCATTTAATGACATGCTCCATGACTAAACAACTCTTGAAGTTATGAATCTTGGAATTTATATCTGTGTTACTCTGAGTTAGAGTGTGAATTTGGACCAAAACCCTTTTTGCAGTTTTCAAAATAGTAAGGGTTATTGTAAATTTTATGTTTTCTATCAATGTCTATACAGGGAGCAATACTTGAACAAGAACCTCATGAAATTCAATTGGTTATAGATTTTTCAAAAAATAACTTCACCGTCAGTTTCATTACATAAGTTGACTCTGTGATACCCATCATCTGAGTATTCAGATATATTCCAGACTAAAATCAACAAAAAGGCAAACCTGTCCCTTTAAAATTGATGATATATTACCTCAGAGCATGTTGGATGTATACCTATAGTCATATCAAAATCTTCTTTAGTAGCCCCTTTTCTCATAGCTATAGAATAACCTTGTGTTATCTCTCCAGCATTAGGTCCTAACACATGGAAACCTACAACTCTTTCCTGTAATAAGAGAAGAAATGAGCTTCAAACTACTATAAATTTTTTTTACCCAATTATTACATTACTTTTCTTTTTCCAGCTTTTAGAGACAGCTTTCTTCTGTTAAGCTAGATTATCTAAGACTAGTCAAGTCAAAGACGTTACAAGACCTTTTAATTATTGAGGGATGTTTAAGAAGCACATTAAGGAGCACCTCAATTTATTATCTCATCAGAAATACTAGTTGCTGTTTCTATGTTAGCCACTCCTATCAGCATCAGCAGCAAGGGAAGCCAAGGCATTGTTCCACATCAAAAATCTAACAATTAAATTTTTTTATAAGTATGGTCTTTCTTAATGTAAAATTACAAACTTAGGAAAAGAGTTTGTCCTGGAAGAGGACCCAGAATGAACCTGGACCTCCAGGTAAGTGAGTAGTATCCCACTGAACTATCCATGCAACCCAAACAGAAGTATCAATATTAAAATGAAACTAAAGTCATCTAGATTTTTATACCTTTTCTGTTTTTAAACACACTAGTTTGGCATAGCAGACATTTTCTTCTCTATGTGGTACTGTCCATTCTAAAGGCATGAAATTGGAATGATAAACCTAAAAATAGAATATGATGGCTATAGACAATCTATATTAATGGTTTTAAATTTTAATAATTGTCACATGGATTTGTTTTTTTTTTAGGATATATAAAACATGGATTGCAAATGGCATTTTTATAAATAGTACACCATTCCATTGACAAGCAAGATACACCGAATTAGCCAATAAATTTTCAGCATGTCAAGGGATGTTACTCAATTAATGTGTCGAACATATCGAATCTTTTGAACATTGATTTCCAAAGCCACTTATATGCTCTGTACATCAAAAGCTAAAGATGGGTTTCGTTATTTTTTAGTGTCAAATTAAGCAAACTATTTGATTAATTGGTGTTTCTAATGAATTATCATGTATTCTTAATCATATTATTATGTTCTTATTGCATATAATTAAGAGTTTTGACCAATCATAAATGTCCATTTATGTACAGTCTGGATAAACAAAAAAGACTTTTTGAGCTTTCTTGATTGGTCACTCATTGGAATTTTGCTGGTAACTTTCGTCTAATTTAGCTAATTTTGAATTAATTATGGACATGTGAGACAAACTTGAATATTTTCAAGTCATTAGATCACCTCTACTTTCTATTCATATAAGTAATTCATTTTCTTACATTTTAAATAAGTGAACCTATCTTAAAAACATTCTCAATATTTGTCAAATCATACCAAAATTTGCACTTGTCAAACATCTTGTTGGTACAAAAACAAACAAACAACAAAAACATCAGATAAAAAACGTGACCTAATTTGCTTCTACAAGAAATGTTGATGGGTGAAAAAACTAGAATGTAGGCACGTTAAACATTATATAATTACCTCAATGTTATCAGCACCATATTTGTCTATGGCAGCTTCTTCTGAATATCCTATAGCTCCATATTCTATAGGTGTAAACACAGTAGTAGCAACATTAATATAATCACACTGAAAATAGTGAACATCATTATAAATAATAATACAGAAGTCAAATAAGATTTAATATACAAATTCAAATTACGTTTATCAAAAACAAACAACGGCATTAGCCTGCTCTATTTTGATTTCCAACTGTCATGGGATCTTTAAAATGCATAGTCTGTAGCGCACAGGGCCTCAGTTTATTGTCCCATTTTCCATGTCAGTCCCTCAAACTTGCATCACTGTGAGTGGAGAACATTGAAAATCCAAAGGTATATATCTTGATTTACGTTGGAATTGAACCCCAAATCTTCAGGTTAGTGAGCAAACGTCTCACTCACTGAGCTACTGTGGCTCCAAATAGCATATTTGAGAATGGCACTTTAATTCTAAATATTTTGATTCTCACAGACATGATAGGGTGTACGTACTACTTTCTGCTCCCATTTGAGCTAATGATGATTCAAAATTCAATGCATTGTTCATATGAAATTGAAATTTTTACAGATCTTTAACATGAATAGCACACGGGGCCTTAGTTCACTATGATAGCATCACAGGCAGAGGGAGGATAGGGTACAATAATCGGAAAGTATCATCTCTTAATGGCCCTCATGAGAGACACAAAAATATTTGATAGACTCTAATCTCCTGCTTTCGGCATAAGCAACTAGTTTTGATGTAAACACTTAGGTACAGAAACAATCTCATTGAACGGGAGAGAGTAATTTGTGCTAGTTCTAATACTTACAAGGGTTTTAGGATTATTATATAATCTATTAACTAACAGACGACCAGCTTAGATAGCTACTAGTGTTAGTTCTGATACTTACAAGAGTTTTAGAATTATTATATAATCTATTCACTAACAGACAACCAGCTTAGATAGCTACTGGTGTTAGTTCTGATACTTACAAGAGTTTTAGAATTATTATATAATCTATTAACTAACAGACGACCAGCTTGGATAGCTACTGGTGTTAGTTCTGATACTTACAAGAGTTTAGAATTATTATATAATCTATTAACTTACAGACGACCAGCTTGGATAGCTACTGGTGTTAGTTCTGATACTTACAAGAGTTTTAGAATTATTATATAATCTATTAACTAACAGACGACCAGCTTAGATAGCTACTGGTGTTAGTTCTGATTACTTACAAGAGTTTTAGAATTATTATATAATCTATTAACTAACAGACGACCAGCTTAGATAGCAACTAGTGTTAGTTCTGATACTTACAAGAGTTTTAGAATTATTATATAATCTATTAACTTACAGACGACCAGCTTAGACAGCTACTGGTGTTAGTTCTGATACTTACAAGAGTTTTAGAATCATTATAAAATCTATTCACTAACAGACGACCAGATTAGATAGCTACTGGTGTTAGTTCTGATACTTACAAGAGTTTTAGAATTATTATATAATCTATTCACTAACAGACGACCAGCTTGGATAGCTACTGGTGTTAGTTCTGATACTTACAAGAGTTTTAGAATTATTATATAATCTATTAACTAACAGACGACCAGCTTGGATAGCTACTGGTGTGAGTTCTGATACTTACAAGAGTTTTAGAATTATTATATAATCTATTCACTAACAGACGACCAGCTTGGATAGCTACTGGTGTTAGTTCTGGACGACCTTTAGCAATATCACCAATAGCATAAATATGAGGTATATTGGTTTGATCTTCATCATTACATATAACTTTACCATTCCTTGGAAAACAAAACATGTAAAACATGAATAATTACAGAAACTTTCAATGCCACGTAAATTTGACTTTCACACTTGGTTTAAAACAATACACTAGAATATAAATAAAATCTAACATTTATTTATTAGTATGTTTGGTTTTAACGGGAATTGTCTGCCAGTTCCATAAAAAACAGGAATAATGACTTAGTTGTCTACCAATGGCTATGTACAATTATACTAGTGATCCATTTTCATTAGTTTTTTCTAATTTATAAGTTTTTCACTGTCCCAAGTTATTCACTGTCAAAAGTATACATCATTATCATTTGTCTATTGTCACAATTTATTCATCATCCTAAGTTATCTATTATAACAAGTTATTCATTGCTAAATGTAATTCAAAGTTTTAATATCACAAGTAAGTCAATGAGACAAAGTACAATGAGACAAAGTACAATGTCCTAAGTTATTCATTGTCACAAGTTATTCATTCAAAAGTTTTTCATTGCAACAAGTTATCTATTGTCACAAATTATCCATTGCAACAAGTTATCTATTGTCACAAATTATCCATTGTCACAAGTTATCTATTGTCACAAATTATCCATTGTCACAAGTTATCTATTGTCACAAATTATCTATTGTCACAAGTTATCTATTGTCACAAATTATCCATTGTCACAAGTTATCTATTGTCACAAATTATTCATTGTCACAAGTTATCTATTGTCACAAATTATCCATTGTCACAAGTTATCTATTGTCACAAATTATCCATGGTCACAAGTTATCTATTGTCACAAATTATTCATTGTCACAAGTTATTCATTATCTCAAAGTTTCTATGGTCACAAGTTATCTATTGTCACAAATTATTCATTGTCACAAGTTATTCATTATCTCAAAGTTTCTATGGTCACAAGTTATCTATTGTCACAAATTATTCATTGTCACAAGTTATTCATTATCTCAAAGTTTCTATGGTCACAAGTTATCTATTGTCACAAATTATTCATTGTCACAAGTTATTCATTATCTCAAAGTTTCTATGGTCACAAGTTATCTAACCAATAAATATGAATAGAAAATATTTTAAATACTTACTTTTCTAATTTGACGCCTATTTTTTCTAATCCTATACCAGCTGTACATGGATCTCTTCCCATAGCTATTAAAATCTATAATAATCAAGATAAAACATACATGATATTCAAATTCAAAACTATTAGCCACTTTCCAGTGAATATTAACCCTTCAATCATTGCAAAAAGTGACATCTGGTCTCCCCTTTCAGTAAACTTCTTAAGTCCAAAATCTTCTCATATCTATCTTTCCTAAGAAACAATCAAATATGAGTTTCACTTAAAATCCTACGGTAAGAAATTTTCATTATTTATCGGGTAACTTACAACAGCTATACCCTGACATAACTTAACACTTCAGAATAGATTTAACTTGCCAATTTCTGTTGTGAGAACTCATTAGTGTTGACGCATTGACTGTTTTTCACATTTTTCTGCAATTCTTTCACTATGAAAAATGGCAAAACTTTTAAAGTGGATGGGCCACCCTTGGCTGCCTGGTAGAAGTACCACTTTCATTCAAATGACACAAAATATCACATTTTCAATTCCCAAATACTCATAATACACAGGAATATACTGTATACTTACTGTGTTAAATTCTTCTTCAACAATATCTCCAGTACTAGTATTTTTACCAGTTACTTTATATTTACCAGGATTACCATCCTCTAATTTTTCTATCTACAATATCAATATCATATATAGATAATACTGAGCTCTTTAATTCACCTCCTGAGTTGAGGATTAATGTTGATTTTCTTACTTTAATTCAGATATTTTTGTAGAATTCAAATGTTTCTGAAATATACGACACCTGATAGCATTGGGATTTTCAAAATATCATGTCATGATCATTATCAGGATTCTAGAAGCTCTATAACCCTGGTTTCCAACTTAAGGTGTTTTCACCCCCTGGGGTTGTGAGATTAGGGTGTCAGGGATGTGACCAATTGATGCAAGAGATGAAATTATTTTGAGTCGAGAGGGCAGCTCACATCATCACAAGCTGGAAATGTGGATGAAACAAATTTTTGGGGGTGTGAGAGTTCCAGGTGATTGCTCCAGCGGCATGAAGGCTGAAAAAGGTTGGGAACCACTGCTCTTTAACAACTATACTTCAATGATGCATTTTCAATTGATTGCAAAAGTACCAAAGTCAAATTTCATATTTATAAATGATACAGATAGGGTCTTGACAGAAGATCAAACAACATTGCAGATAAATATTTCTGTTTATAGCTAACCTTTACTGGTACAACACCTCGATGGAAGAAAACATTTTTGGACTGCATATATTGACCAATATATTCAGCAATTTGTTGGTCAAAACCACGTAATAATATAGATCTAACCATAACAGTCACATCTAAACCCAGTCCTGCTAGAAATCCAGCACATTCTAGAGACACATAAGATGCACCAATACACAATGTTCTACCAGGACAGTATGGTAATGAAAACAGGTCATCACTGAAAAAAATATTAACAACCCATTGTTATTTCAATCTTACAGTATCAAGTGCAAGTTTACCATTCTGTTTGACCAATCTACGTTAATCTTAGAAACAGGAATTATTTTGTCACTAACAGTTCAACATCGAAATTTGAGCCTTCAAATCCATATGTGTAAGGAATGTTTGAAAGTTAAAATGACATCTTTTTTAGATACTCCACCATATAATAATTGAGAATGAAATTTCTAGTTTGAAGGAATTATGAGATTTTCGTACATCTAGTATTTGTGAAGACTATGTACATATATTCGAGAATCAAATTAACCTTCTGAAAATGGCCAACCCTAGCCTTCAATTATGAATATTAGACAGAATGGATTATTTCTTTCCATGTACATCTAGGTTGACTAGTATAATGAGGAAAGATGATTTATTGAAGGTCACAGGGAGTTTCTATATATTTACCTGGTTATACAATACTCCTTAGCACCTGGAATATCAGGATATCTTGGTCGTTCACCTGTAGCTATTAAAAATGTTTCACCACTTATCTCTTCAACTTTATTATTTTTCTTGGTAACCTTGGTAACGATAATAGTTAGTTATAACATACTGAATGTCACATGAAACATCATTGTTCTCAAGAGTCTGGGCATAGAGGGTATTTCACAATTTTATTTTGAGACAAAAGCCATATACAGTGAATCCTGCTACTGTGACCACCTTCAGTAAGCAACCACCTTCAATATGCAACAAAAAGTCCCAACGTTACAATACAATTAACATATATATATCATTTTGAAATAAATATTTTGAAAAACGTCTACATTTTGGGTTATTTTATTCATCTTACAGCATTTTTTATGATTTCTGCTTCTACATCTAATAATATACGCACAATCAGCTTTTATTTCAAATAATGAGTGTTTTCTAGATAAAAATTGGATGCATTTTCAACACCAAGGGCAATAACTGGTATTTAATATTTTTCTGCTTTTCAATGAGTTCATCCTTGGGTGGTAATAATACTCATACCATGTTTTGTGAAATCCCTCAAGAATTGTGCCTTCTGGAGTGTTTTCAATATTTGAGGGTAATTGTAGAGGGACATGAGTGATGCCAATATACTCTTCACATCTTATGTGGTCTTATAAAATGTTCTTTACCTTCAATGTATGTGGTTCTATAAATTCACCATAACCATTAATATAATTTACAGATTTTTCACGTAACTGTACTCTATAACCCCAGTTTAATGAACCAATATGATCCTACAAACATATAATATCAATATTAATAAGATCTTTTTTTACATTTTCAAAAGATGAAAACAGAATATACCTCTACATCATAGGCCATGGTATACCATATTCAGAAGTCAATTTTTCCTTGGAATCAGATCCAGGAATTGTTCATAGTATTCACAGTTTACTGTCCAAATTTCAGTCTTCTCAGCCATGTTAGACCTTAAATTTCCATGTTTGAAAATAACACTGACATTAAATACCATTAAAGACAATGACTGTTCTCCAGTTTTCATGGGTTTCCCCAAACAATAATATGAATATGCAATACGATGCAACTATACAATTCTGATAAAGAAATGAAGTATAATGTACCTGTATAGCAGCAGTCATTGTTTCCCAGTTATGTTTGACTATAAGACAAGATGAAAACATTAGGTTATAATCTATATGTATTCAAAGATATTAACTGTGTTTCCATTGAGGGAAAAAGCTGGCTTTAAGCTTTCATGTGTTACCACTGGGCAAATTGCCGAAAACATCTCATTTTGCTTTCAGCAATTTGTCGGAGGTCAACTGAAAGCTAGCTTAATGCCGGCTTTCACTTAACCAGTAGAAACGCAAAAAGCCAGCTTTATCTCGTTCGTCTATAGGGGGCGTACTGGTCTTTCCAGTCTATTGCATTTCTTACTGGTGAAACGGTAGTCTTGTACATCACGAGTTGTAAATGATGTGCGACTTCGAGGCTAAAGTCGTGCGGGAACCAGTTAAACTCAGCTGGTTATAATTTACAATTCCTAGTGGAAACGCGGTTATTATACATCTACTAACTAGGGATTACATTTCAATGTTCATAAGACTAAGCAACTAAAACAGATGCAAATAATTACCAACTGCAGCATAATTAGGAATAATTTTGAAAAAATTACCCCATTGACACCAAGAGAAAACTATTTTTGGTTATATTCCATAACTTGATCATAAAACTTAAAAATATTACCTTCTGTGTTTACATCCCAGCCAAAACTTTTAGCATCTGAAAACTCTTCTCCTATAATGAAAAAAATTAACAATAAAAGTTACTTAAGCTTACTTAATCTAAGTAATTATATGTTAAGCTCAAACAAGAAATGAAATAAAGAAGACAAGATATATGGATATATACTATTTCTGTATTTATTAACTCAACGTTTCACATGCTCATACAGGCAGCGTTATCAAGAGAAATGCCTGCCTGTATGAGCATGTGAAACATTGAGTTAATAAATGTCAGAAATAGTATATCCTTATATCTTGTGCTTCTTTACCTATGCCTATTTCTATATGTCTTATAAACAAAGAGATAAAATGTTTATTACATCATCTGAAATACTAAATTAAGCATTACAGTTGATATCAAAAGAGATTATTTGTCAGTTCATGGCTTAATTATTTCGAAAACTAGGACTTCTGAACAAATGATTTGGGAACAGATGTGTCCTGTGAGTTACGTACTCAATCAACATAGAATATCTCATCAAAAAATTATATCAGAACCGTGTGGTCACGTGAGACAAAAATTATGTCACATCGCTGTTTACGCAATGTGTCTTTTGAACAATGTCCATGATGCAGCATACATACATGACAATGTATTTTGTTTTTAATGGACAAAAATCATACATCTGTGCCTTTGTTTTACAAACTGAATATAACTTAATCTCTGCAATTGGAATAACTTCCGGTTTACAAATGATATAAATTGAGCTTTAAAGATGATACATCTATATCATTATATAGTAAAACCTGTCATTTCAGATAAAGAGAAAACTATGATTTTTTCAGAACTTCAAGTATAATGTATTTTGACACAAAAAATAAGCTTTTCAATAATATATTTTACGTATTTTACGTATATTTGAAGCTGTTCCAGAAAAATAGAAAAATAACAAACCTAATATAGCTGCCCTATGCATTAATTTTTTGGGGATACATCCCACATTGACACAAGTACCACCTAAACCCCATTGTGTTCCTTGTGGACTTGGTTTCACAAAATCAAGTAAGGCAACTTTTTTACCAAAATTTGAAGCCTCCTGAAAAGAAAAAAATAAGGGTTTACAAAATTTTTGGTTTTTACATTATAATCAGATTCAATGAATATGGCATCCTTACATCTCAATATAACAATGTATGATCTGAGCACCAAGAACAAACTCTCCAAAATGTCTTACCTTATGTTATGCTTATAGGTCCAAAAGTGACCATATCTTACTGTAGGCAGCAATAACAATGTCTTGCCATAGCTGCTGCTAGGCCACCGAAATTTCTGACAACAATGTCTTACCATAGCAGCCGCATAATCACCAGAATCTCCACCAATAACAATGTCTCTTAGATGCTTCTTAAACAATGGAACCTTCACCAATAATAATGTCTTACCTTAGCTGCTGCTACAATCAGAGTCTTCACCAATAACAATGTCTTACCTTAGCTGATGCTACAACCAGAGCCTTCACCAATAACAATGTCTTACCTTACTTGCTGCTACAACCAGAGCCTTCACCAATAACAATGTCTTACCTTAGCTGCTGATACAACCAGAGTCTTCACCAATAACAATGTCTTACCTTAGCTGCTGATACAACCAGAGTCTTCACCAATAACAATGTCTTACCTTAGCTGCTGATACAACCAGAGCCTTCACCAATAACAATGTCTTACCTTACTTGCTGCTACAACCAGAGTCTTCACCAATAACAATGTCTTACCTTAGCTGCTGATACAACCAGAGTCTTCACCAATAACAATGTCTTACCTTAGCTGCTGATACAACCAGAGCCTTCACCAATAACAATGTCTTACCTTAGCTGCTGCTAAACCACCAGAACCTCCACCAACAACAATGAGATCATAGTCATACTTCTTTGTGGTTGTGTTGATCATTTTCAATAACTGACCATCACTATGGGCTTTTAATGTTGAATCACAACCTCCTGGAAAATCAAATCATTCACATTACTCTATCTTATTGGATAACTTAGAAATTTACTTTTACTGGTGGTTCACTGTTATTACTTAACAAGTCACATTAATAGTGAGTGCTATTGTTGATTTACAGAATCTAGTGCTATTGTTGATTTACAGTATCTAGTGCTATTGTTGATTTACAGTATCTAGTGCTATTGTTGATTTACAGTATCTAGTGCTATTGTTGATTTACAAAATCTAGTGATGTTGTTGATTAACAAAAGCTAGTGCTATTGTTGATTTACAGTATCTTGTGCTATTGTTGATTTGCAGAATCTAGTGCTATTGTTGACTATTGTTGATTTACAGAAACTAGTGCTATTGTTGATTTACAGAATCTAGTGCTATTGTTGATTTGCAGAATCCAGTGCTATTGTTGACTATTGTTGATTTACAGAATCTAGTGCTATTGTTGATTTACAGTATCTAGTGCTATTGTTGATTTACAGTATCTAGTGCTATTGTTGACTATTGTTGATTTACAGAATCTAGTGCTATTGTTGATTTACAGAATCTAGTGCTATTGTTGATTTACAGAATCTAGTGCTATTGGTGATTTACAGTATCTAGTGCTATTGTTGATTTACAGAATCTAGTGCTATTGTTGATTTGCAGAATCTAGTGCTATTGTTGACTATTGTTAATTTTCAGAATCTAGTGCTATTGTTGATTTACAGTATCTAGTGCTATTGTTGATTTACAGTATCTAGTACTATTGTTGATTTACAGTATCTAGTGCTATTGTTGATTTACAGTATCTAGTATTATTGTTGATTTACAGTATCTAGTACTATTGTTGATTTACAGTATCTAGTGCTATTGTTGATTTACAGTAAGCTTATTGTTCATGTTGTACAGAATGAAGTAAGATTATTGTTATTTTACAGAATCTAGTAATGTTGTTATTTTACAGAATCTAGTAATTTAAATGTTGTTGATGAACAAATCTAGTACTAAAGATTCCAGTTGACCAGACAATTATTTCTAACAGCCTGTATCAGACTAGATAACATTAATCAATATTATATGATGAGTTCTTAGTGTATTATATCAGTATTTTTCTAATGTAATCGATGATTATCTTATATTAACCGTATTGTCAGTAATGAAAACAAAATTCAGACCTTCATGAAAATAACAGTCAGAAAAAATGAAGCCAAGCATATTCAAGCTAAAATATTTTAGTTGAGCATAGGCATTTCTGATACAAAACTTAATTCAAAAATAATTCTCCTTGAATTGAAGCTCGTTGATGTAGCAATCAATGTGTAGCTTCTCTCATTATTTATTCCACCTAAAAATTATCTTGAGTCAAAAATTACCTCCTTGATACGCTGTGTATCAG